ACACGGGGGTAGGTGACAGTGGATCTGCGTCCCGTAGAGACAGTATAGGCCCCCTTTAACACACGGGGGTAGGTGACAGTGGATCTGCGTCCCGTAGAGACAGTATAGGCCCCCTTTAACACACGGGGGTAGGTGACAGTGGATCTGCGTCCCGTAGAGACAGTATAGGCCCCCTTTAACACACGGGGGTAGGTGACAGTGGATCTGCGTCCCGTAGAGACAGTATAGGCCCCCTTTAACACACGGGGGTAGGTGACAGTGGATCTGCGTCCCGTAGAGACAGTATAGGCCTCCTTTAACACACGGGGGTAGGTGACAGTGGATCTGCGTCCCGTAGAGACAGTATAGGCCTCCTTTAACACACGGGGGTAGGTGACAGTGGATCTGCGTCCCGTAGAGACGGTCAGGAACTCCGCTTCGCCACATGTCCATCGACGCCAAGTCAAACATCAACTCCTGAACCTAACATTCAGCCCCCCCCCCGGTCTAATCCTGACCCTACGGTAAAGCAATGTATATACGAGCTCGTCTCGAGCAACGCGCTAGTTCAGCGAGCCCGCAGCAAGCCGTAAAACCAGGCGCCGTGCTTTAATCTCCAGCAGAAACATCGAGTAATCGCACTGAAAACGTTTCTCCCTCATCTTCCCAGCTTCCCGCGACCGAGAATAGAAACGCAGGCGTTATAGTCGGGCGCCGACTCCGTGACGAGCGGCTGCGGACGAGGCGGGCGAGCGACGCCGGGGCGCATCTCGCTGCTCTGTACCAGCCCATCCTGAGATGTTATGAAGCGCCGTCTGCCATCAAGGCAGCGATGATGATGCTGTCGATTGAGAGATGCTGTTACTGATACCCGACGAGGAATTTCAATATGGCACGTTTTAATATCAATAGCGATGTTGCATTCAGCACAACAACCACTCCCACCCCCACCGCCGCTCCGCACCCACATGCCCGCGCGGGGCCCCGCAAAAACCAATCATCCGGCCGATGATCACCGAAATTACAGCAGACGACTATTCGTGTGCGCACGACCCGCGCGTCGAAATTGCGTATTACTTGCGGGATTTCCGTTCGAATGGAGAACGCGCGTCACGTGGGAGAGCGTCTGCCAGGCCGGTGACGTCACGGCGATAGTCAGACGACATCCTCGAAAGCTGCGGTGATATTATGAGGAGTACATTACCGCGGTAACACAATTATCGGGCGTACACATTATGTCAAACAATTTGCTGTGAAATAGATCACGATGTCAAACAATGGTGTCGTGATATAATTGACACCCGATGCGACTCACAGCGACATCAACATTAACATCAATATAAACATTAATATTAACAATAACATCAATATTAACATTAATATTACAATAACATCATATTAACATTAATATTAACATTAACATCAATATAAACATCAATATTAACATTAACATCAATATTAACATTAATATTAACAATAACATCAATATTAACATTAACATCAATATTAACATTACTATTAACATCGGCTCTCTAACGTCAACATCCACATTACGACTGTTATAACATTAACAACAACATAACACATGTACCCCTGATGTGTCGAGGAGGCGATGCCAATGCAAACAGCTCTCATGCGCGTGCAAGCCGGGGGAAGGAGATCGGAGGACGGGGTTCCGAGGAGGGTGGTCGAGAGAGGAGGGAGGAAGCAGCGGGGTCGTGCTAACCGCATGGAGCGTCTGTCGAGTTAGAAACGCGGCGCCTTGCGTAAAATAACGTCTGCTAGGGCTCAAAGTCGGCAGCAGAGGCCGTCGTCATGGCAACGGGCGCTGGATAAACTGCAGGTGTGCAGGCAGGTGGATGCTGTCTATGTTCACGTGCTTCGTCTATTCCTCCTGTCCATCTCTCTCTCGCTCTCTCTCTCTCTCTCTCTCTCTCTCTCTCTCTCTCTCGCGCGCGCGCGCGCGCGCGCTCTCTCGCTCTCGCTCTCTCATTCTCACCCCCTAACCTGATTTAACTTTTTGTAGTTTCCATCAGGTTTCTTTTCATTGTCATCATTTCCCATTCCATTCTCATGCTTTTATATTTTCTTCTTCGTTCCACTTCTCTTTCTCCTCCTCCTTCTCCTTCTCCGCCGCCTCCTTCTCATCCACTTCATAATCTTTCCTTCTTTCCACGTTTTTTGTCATCACAAGCCTTACGTTATGCTCACCCTCATTGCTGGTGTCTTTGTTGTTGGGTTTCTTCCTCCTGTTCATTTTCTTCCTCCTCCTCCTCCTCCTCCTCCTCTTCTTCTTCTTCTTCTTCTTCTTCTCCCCCTCATTTTCACTTTCTCGTGCACGGGGCAATAACCCCGTATACGTATATAATAACCCCGGAAAATGATGATGATATCGGATAGCAAATATTTGCGATGCTCAGAGCTGCATGCTCACTCTCACATCATCTTATCATCATCGTCATCATCATGCATGCAGCGTACAGCAGGTAAAACCGGTCATTGTTCGTGAAATTAACACAGGTCGGCGACGAATGGCGGCGTGACTCCGTAACAAACGGCCCGATTCTAATCTCAACCCGTTCTTTACGGTCTCCTAGACGTCTACTCGCGGCGGTGAAAATGAAAGGGGTGATGACCGAGGAAGAACGCGAGGGGAGAGGGTGATAGAGCGGGAGAGAATGAGAGAGATAGTGGCGTGTAAGAGAGCATAGGGGAAGAGGGGGAGTGTGGGACGGCGTCTAGGAAGAAGAGAGTGTGGTAGGAGTTTGAGATAGAGAAAGTGTGTGCTAAGAAGAATGTTTGAGTGAGTGGAGAAGGGTGCGAGTTTCAATAGAGGGTGTTAAGAAGGGAGAAGGGTGCGAGTGTCAATGGAGGGTGTTAAGAAGGGAGAAGGGTGCGAGTGTCAATGGAGGGTGTTAAGAAGGGAGAAGGGTGCGAGTGTCAATGGAGGGTGTTAAGAAGGGAGAAGGGTGCGAGTGTCAATGGAGGGTGTTAAGAAGGGAGAAGGGTGCGAGTGTCAATGAAGGGTGTTAAGAAGGGAGAAGGATCGGGCTATGGGGGGAGGGAGAAGAGATCGGGTGATGGAAATGATGCAAGAGTAAGAGCGAGAGAGTGAAACTGCATAAAGAGAAGGATGAAAAGGATATGAAATGAAGATGAATAAGGAGAGAGGGATATGAGTGTGAGTGGGGAATGATGTGGAAAAGGGGAGGAGAGGGTGGTACTATGAGGTTAAGATACAATCACGATATGAGCGAACGTCTCAGTAAGAACAGCAGGTAAAACCGGTCATTGCTCGTGCAATTAACACAGGTCGGCAACACCTCCAGTAAGAACAAACTTTCGTTTGAAATCTGCTGACGCAATCTTCTTCGCCCCACTCGCTTTATTCTCTCAGAGTTCATCGATACGCCATCATCATTGCTTGGAGTGACTGCATGTCGATCGTTATGTATATAGAGCGCGCCGTACAACGCGCCCATTCTGCCTGCTATCATTTCTCTTCCGGCTCATGGCTGTAAAACTCAGTTTTACATCTTTTTAACTGGGCATAAAAACGCAACAAGCACAATTTCACCGCCGTCCGAAGAGTGCGCTGTTTGTTCGGGTATCTTCGCTGCCGACGTATTTCGGGCATCACCGCTGACGACGCAATTCAGTCATCGCCGTCGCCGAACTAAACGTCGGGCATCTCTGCCACCGACAAACTTCGGGAATCTCCGCCGCCATGCACTTCGGGCATCTCCGCCGATGACAAACTTCGGGAATCTCCGCCACCGACTAAATTTGGGAATCTCCGCCGACGACAAACTTCGGGCATCTACGGCGTCGGTCGGTCGTCTTCGCGATGACTCTCTATGGCCGACGGCTTAAAATATCAGCAGCAGACGACAAGAACGGGCGCAAAACCAGCAGGCGCCACGGCAGCGGTGCGTGCAGTCAGATAGCTTGCAATAGTTTTTTCATAACAGCGGTCGGGCGGCAACCCGATCTCTAAACAGGCTTCAGACTTCTTTCCGTTCACCCTCTCCCATCTCAAGCCCGTCCCCACGTCACGGCACGTTAGCATCACTCCGCACACAGGCGCAAGAGAGACCCAAGAGAGAGCAAGATGTTTCTGCTGTGCACGTGTAGTAAATTCGTCCGATGTCGATGGTAATTGTAAGCGGAGATATGCGATTTTTTCCCTTTCTATAGACAGAGTTCTATCTATTCGGGAAGGGGTAACCAAAATTATCAACGACACTACCTTCTCCTAATAACAAACACTGCAATCCTCAACCCCACCTGCCACCAACGCGCCGAATTACCCAATCCCACGCTAAAGAAAGGGAGGAGATAACAAACCATTCTTTACACCAACAGCTACTTTGTGCTGCTCCACTCCCCACGCCGAAAACAACGCACCGAACAACTGGCCATCTGTTCTCCGCCACGCGCGCGTGCTCTGTTGTCTATATACATATATGTCTATAGATATAGGCGCTTCATAGCTCGCAACCAACGGCGCAACCCGCAGGCAGTACAACAAGCGGTGTTTGAACTGTGGACACAGCCGCAGGACCAACCCAACCTGCCACCCACTGCTACTGATACTACTGCTAAACTAGCGCCGTGCCTCGGTTAAACCGAGCAGCGACGTGTATTTGCGTAGTGATATATACCTGCGTGCGGTCATCGGGCGGAGCAGTGCAATTTGCCACGCACAAAAGACTCGAGTAATTGCCCCTCTGCGCGCGCTCTCTCTCCCTTCGCCTCCCTCTCTCTCTCTCTACCCTCTCTTCTGGCGATCCGACGAGACAGCCGCAGAGAAAGAAAGAGCGAGAGCGAGAGAGAGGAAGGGAGAAGACGCGCAGGACGCTTGCATGCACTCATCCCTTCTCGCATCTGTGAGACAGCGACAGCGATGGCTCGTTGGGAACCATCCAGGTCACACAACTCTCTCTCTCTCTCTCTCTCTCCACCCGCCGTCTCGCGTTACCTCATTTTTTTTCGGCTGCTCGCGAACGCGGAATTTCTACACTGGTAGCGCGTCCTTGTCACAGTCCTTCCCTCACAGGCTCTCCTTCGTGTCCTCCTGCTCCGACCGCGACGAGATTAATTCGATGGTCCGCCGGCAGAGAGCATCCCTAACGGTCTCTCGCGTTACACTGGTCGTATCACGGGATCCGGAACACGACCTCCGATGACCTCACCCGTCCGATGACGTCACATGCCTTTCTCGCGGACGTCGGCGACCCTCCCCTCTTAGCGATGACGTCGCGTCGCTACAACTCCGAGTGTCGCTCGTTCTCGCGCGCCAGCTCCAGCATGCTGGCGATCTCTCGTTCCGCCTCGACTCGTTCGATCTCGTCGTGTCGCGGGTCGAGCGTGAACCACATGGCGATCGCGCAGCGACGTCCGTCCGTCACGGCGCGCACGCCGTGCAAGTTCTCCTCGCCCGACGAGAAGCTGACGACGCGACCGCAGTGCGGCTTCACCTGCGCGATCACGTGCTTGCGGCTGTCGGCAAACACGAAGTCGCCGCCCTCGAAGTCGTCGTTGAGGTAGAGCAGCGCGCTGTAGTCGCGCCACGTGTACGCCGGCGGCTCCTTCGCGCAGCTGCCGTCGCTCTTCAGTATGCAGTTGTCGCCGTGTATCGGATGGCTCATGTCGTCGCCGCGGTCGTACTGTCGGCCGGCGACGGCCGTGCGACACACGAGGTGCGTGTAGGTGAAGTAGAGGCGCGTGCGCAGAGCGAAGTAGCTCTCCATAAATTCGCGCACCTGTTCGCCGAGCCGCAGGAACAGGTTGACGACTTCCGGAGTGACGGCGCCGTCGCGCGCCAGCCGGTAGCCGCGGCCGGGCGTCATGCCGGCGAACTGCTCGCTCTGCGAGTGTATGTACGGGTCGTCGGGTCGGTAGCCGTCGCCGAGCTGCACGCCGTCTTCGGCTAGCTGTACCAGCTGCCGACACTCGGCCTCCGAGGCAAAGCCGCCGGCGAGGAAGCGCTTCGATACGTTGTTCTCCTTCTCCGTGAACTCGACGTGAACGCCGCGCGCGCCGTAGTCCCGCTGCGTCTCCTCCTGCCGCCGCCGCCGCGCCGCCGCCTCTTCCGGCGCCTCTTCCGGTCCGTCGGCTCGCTTCACCTGCTCATCGGCGGCCACCGCGGCGTCGTCAGCACCCAGCGCGCCCCAGGTGATGTCATCGGTGTCGCTGACGTCGATTCCGAGATCACTGTCGTAGATGGTGACGGCAATGTTCGAGAAAGTGTACTCGTCGTAGTCCAGAAGTCGCGCGAGGTGGTCGCGAAACCGCCGAAACTTCACCGCCTCCGGTCGTACGACGAAGTAGCTCTCGTCGGCGCCGGTCTGAACGTAGAACTCCTTGTTGAACTGCATGTCGGCGTCGTCCGGGTTCAGATGCAAGTACGACTCGACGGCGGCGCCCGCGTTGCGGTGGTCGCCCGTCTTGAAGTAGCAGTACTGCAGGTAGTGGTAGATGTTACTGAGCAGCTCCGGGTAAAGCTTATCGTAGACGGCTGTCGCACGCGCGTTGCACGCGTCCTTGCAGCGCAGTGTCTGCAGGAAGTGATTCGAGATGGCGATGTACATGTCGTACTTGTCGTTGCGCTCGGCGTACGGACCCTCGCACAGCAGCCGACAGTCGCCGAGCGCCTGTAGATACTCGGTGAGCACCAGCTCGAGCACGCTGGCCGTCAGCTCGTAGTTACCGGTGTCGTAGTGCTCGAGCGCGTTGAGAAACTCCTTCTTGTATTCGTCCATGAGCGTGTCGACGAACATGTCCGGCGTCACGTCGGCGTGGCTGCGGTAGAACTGCAGGTTGCTGATCATCACATCGTGGCCGAGGTTGCCCATAAGGAACGTGTAGGCGTACGAGACGGCCTCAGCGATCTTACCCAGCTTGAAGGCGCAGATCTGCAGGTAGTCGTAGTGTTCGCGCTCCTGGAACTTCTTCATGATCGCCGGATCGAGGCCCTCGGGTCGGCCGCCAAACCGTTGTCGCTCGCAGCGCAGCAGGCAGTAGGCGTTGCGCAGCGCGTGCTCGAAGAAGCGAAAGTTGTCGACGTCGTCGTTCGGGTATTCGACGCCGACGTCGGCCGCCGCGTTGCACTTGCGTCGGCAGAGCACCTGCACGCCGCTGAAGTACTGCCAGTCGTCGACGGCGCGCAGCATCAGGCCGTGGCACTCGGCCCATCGTTCGTCGGTGTACGCCTGCACGGCCTGCTCGTAGAGCATCTCGTACGTGATTCTCGGCTCGTCCGGTAGAGCCGTCGTCGTGCGCAGCAGCAGCAGCAGTGCACAGCACGTCGTCGCCAGCAGGGCCCGCATCGCAGCACGCTCGCACGCTGCCATGTTGTGCTGTGATGTGTGCGCGACGTGAGAGAGCGTGCTAAACCAGCGCGCGTGTGCGAGTGAGTGTGGCAGGAGGCTGGCTGGCTGGCTGGCTGGCTGGCAGCTGAGTGCTGGCGCTAGCAGTGCGTTAGAGCGCAGCGGGCGCGTGGGGGAGGGGGGGGGGCGGTTGTTGGTGAGATAGTTTCGCCATCTATCGGCGATATCTGCGTGTGTGGACGATAGCTGGATCTATCGTCTGTATGTGCGTATGTGAATCTATGCGCACGTATACGCACACACACACGCACATGCACTCACACATGCACACACGCACACACACACACACACACACACACACCCACACACACACACACACACACACACACCAACACGCACGCACCACGCCACGCTACGGACGCCGCACGCACGCACCAGAGGAGACAGTGAAGTGGGAGAGAAGAGGGGAATAGATCGACGAGAGAGAGAGACAATAAGATCGAGAGAGGAGACAAGGAGTGATATGGACAAAACGAGGCGACTATGAGAGAGAGAGGACGAAGGGATAAGATCCTGAGGTAGAGAGAGCGCAGTAAAGAACTACGCGTATGATGAACTGTAATCCGGAATAGACAGTGGATAATGTAGTGAATTGTAGGCGCTTCTTAAACCAGCAGAAACACTCGCAAGACGTGTGAGATTCGCATGAGGAGAGAAGGAACGAGAGACGCCGGAGAGGAGTAGAATTAACGTGAACGACTTGGAGACCCCCGTTTGAACGACGATGACCTGTGAATAGGTCGCTCAGGTCAGCGAAATTATCACAAAAAACTCGTGTCAGATACTCCGACACAAAGGACGACCCGTTTATTTCTGACGGTCTTACGATAACTGTGCAATCGGACCGTGACTTACACAGGATACACGGGGAACCAAGTCAAAAACAACCAGGGAGCAGAGAGAGAGGGCCATTCGTTCAAGAAGACAGAAAGAAGTAGTGAGAATCTTAAATCATTAACCTGAGAGAAATTAGAAGCGTGGATCTTTCCGTATGAGATAGAGAGAGCGTTGGACAGAAAAACTTCCGTAAAAGTTAAAAGAATTAAAAAAACGTTCTCG